AGGAAACGGTCACAGAAGCCCACCCAGAGCTGTGCGCATGGCACATGGGCACCCAGCCCAGCGCAAGCCCCGGGCAGCTGAGGAAAGTCACTTCTGGACCAGCCGGGCACGTCAGGGCGGCTCGTCGGAAGGGCAGCACCGAGGCTGAGATTCCAAGAGTCCCACGCAGATGAGGGAGCGTGTGGCCAAGGGAGTGACCAGGAAAAGGCACAGAGGTGATGCCGGTAAAGGTGGCAGGCCACAGGGGTGTTTACTAGGGTGCATGACAGGAAGGCACATTCATAGACATTGCGACTTCCTTCGGTGGGTGCCCGCAGCCAGGCCCGACGGGCCGCAGGGGACTCTGGGAAGTGCCCGCGGTGTCACCGTGGGCCGGACCAGGAGCCTCTGCCATCAGATAGCGGCCAGGCTGCCGGAGTGCCGGTGCCTGAGTGTATCGATTCGTGGATCAATGTCAAGTGCAGGAGGCCTCCAGTGGCGTGCCCCCGGCCTCGCCCCAGCCCTGTCCCTTTCTATCAGGGACTTGAATAAAGGTGTGACAAGCCTGCTGTCACATTTGCAGATCAAAGCTCAGAGGGACGGTTAATGTGGTGGAAGAAATACTCCGGGTATAAAAAGCCTCCTGACAAGCTGAAACAATGGACTGAAGTGAACAAGATGGAATTTAGCAAGGTTAAGTGTGAAGGCCTGCTCATTATTTAAGAAAAATTCACCGCAAGCGTTGGGAGAAGACGTGGCAGGGAGGGCCGGGCCTGGCTGACGGGCGGTTCAGGAAGGGTGGACCTCACACTGGAGCGGCCAGCTGTGTGTCTGCTCATTACACAGGCTGCCCTGCTGGGGACCGAGCCCAGGAAACAGCAGGGTGTGTCCACTGCCTGCACAGCCCTGGCCGTGCCGTGCCCCTGGTCACACTTCCTTCCAGGGGACGTTGGCTGGAGGCAGGTGTCCAGGGCAGAGGGACAGGCAGGCTGAGGGTCAGATGGGAGATGCCAGGCAGTGGACAGGGGAGACCTCTCCTGAGCCTGTTGGGGCGCCTCTCCCGGGCAGAGCTCTCCCTCACTCACCCCTGCAGGCAGCAGGAGAGCCAATGGGCAGAGGTGACGGGGAGGCAGATTTTTGGCTGGATTTAGGGACAGACGTTCTGACAAGAGCTGTCAACCTTGGAGGGAGCGACCTCTATCACAACTGTCCCCATCAGCTCCTGTTCCACGGCTGTGACATCCGTTGGTGACAGTGTCTTCGATCCGAGAGTTCATTGGTGGTTGCAACAGGGTGACTTTGTAATTCTATCATTCTTTCTTAATTTATAACCTGGCATATTTCTACAAAGAACTTTTTCATCAACTCTTTTTATCCTGGAATATACTTTCTATGGGAAAAGCAAAGTCAATTTCTTTCCTCTTCCTTTCCCTCCGTTTTCAGAGGAATGCGTGGTTACCTCAGCAGCCAACAATGGTGAGTTTTATTGTGTGCAAGTGTCCTTATAAACTAGGAATCTTAATACCGACCATATCCGTTCGGATGCTCACACGCTCTCCTTCAGCCCGTGCCTTTTGACACAACCACAGCGACCTCTGGTAGCTTCAAAGCTTCAGCTTCTGGCATAGAAATGCCCCTTGGACTCCTCTGCCACCTTCTTGCCTGAACACTGGTCTTGGCTAATTTTTGGAGGAGCCCCGATTCTTTCCACTGGGAAACTGTGTAGAGAACATAGCCCAGGTCCGAGGGTGCTCGCGGCTCAAGGCGGTCAGCGCTTCTGGGCATTTTTATCCAAACAAGCCAGGAAATACAGATACAGTGTGTCTTTAAGGAGAAAAAGATCATCAGTTTATACTATGTCCAGTTCAGATTTAAGACTATTGGGTTTCTCTTTAACTTCCTTTGTGTGTCACTTGCATCTGTTTTGTTTTATGCTGGAAATCTTGACTCTGAGGATATCACTATAATTGCTGCGTGTTTCTTTCATATAAATATACATAAGATAGTTTAAAAATAACAATATTTCTTCAAACAAGACTCCTGAACGCAGTTCTGTTTTACTTAAGATATATTCCTGTGGGGGGTCGGGGGTGGGGGGGAGAGTCAAACGACAAAATTTAAAGTCAAAATTGTAACAGTTGTTTTTTGGGGGGTGTACACCAAGCACTTGAAATACAGTTTATTTCAGCTTGTTTTCAGATTTTCATGGTTTTATATTGTTTTTTATTTAATCTTTAAGAATTATGTAAAGATTTTTTTATGGTTTCAAAATCAAATAGATATCAAGAAAACTTTTCTCAGAGACCCCATTATTCTCCTGCTGCACCCTCTCTCCCCCGTAAGAAACCATTGAAATTCATTGTTATTTGTTATTTCATTTGTTTTCTTCCAGTTTTCCATTTCTACAGAAAAAATAACATTTTTAGAGTGTTGTTCTTTCTTTGTGTTTTCATTTTAATTTAGTAACCTACCTTGTCAGTAAGTCCCTGTTAGTGCAGAGAACCAGCTCTCAGCTCGCGTCACCCGCCCGCCCTGGGTCGTGCGCACACATGTCCCTCTTCTGGTCCCAGCCTTTTACTGCCGTTCGCAATCTCACTGAACGATTGACGCATCTGTGAGAGGACAGCACGCCCAAATTTATATCTTAAACTCTCACTCTGCTTGCTATGTGCTGTCTACACTGGGGGTCAACCAGGAGCAGGAAGACCACTTGGGCAGCGGCTGCCCGCGTCCAGGCAGGACGGCGGTGGGCCCAGGCGGTGGCGGCGGTGGTGGTGGCGCTGGAGGGCTCCGTCCAGGTTGCCGGACACGTAAGAGGAAGGACCAGCCAGCTCAGCGATGCCACAGGAGGACTGCTGTGTGGGAGCGTTTGCTTCTTGAGGCTGTGCCCTCTCACAGGCTTCCGCTGCTGCTCCCCTCTGTCCCTTGTCCTGGCTTCCGGCCACATGTCAGGGGACAGTGGGGAGCCTGGGGCGGAGCCCTCCTGTCCATTTCTTCTCTCTTCCGAGCCCAGGGCTTGGACCTGTCACTCTGTTGGCTCCACCAGAGAAGGCCCAGAGGAGTTAAGGGAGAGCTGTCCTGTGTCCACGCTAAATGTAGCTTTTACGTTATTAAACACAGTGCTTGCCGTCTGGGCCTGAGGGAGCTGTATTTGGGCTCACCTCCTGGTGCAACCAGTCCCGGGGGCAGTGGGGACATCGCCTTATCTGTTGATAGACACAGTTCTCCCCTGAACAAAAGGAGGCCCAAGGACCACTCTGCCGTCTGCCCACAGTGACGCTGCTGGCTGGAGACCCTCAGTCACCCTCGTGCTACTTAAGACCTTGTTACAGGCTCTCGCCGGTGTATTGACACTTCCGCTGACAGAATCAATCTATCTGTTTCCTTTTAAGCTGACTAAAAGCAGAGGTGACCAGGGCCCTAGGGGATCACGCAGCCACAGACGCGAGGAGCCTGCCCCCTGAGTCGTCGCATGGAAGGCCCCGTGTGAGAAATGAGCGTCTGTTGCATTATGCCACTGACGTTTTGGGGTTTCTTTCTCACACCAGCGTGTGTTACCCTCACTGATGCAGAACATGCCTGTCAGAGCTGCGGTCCAATGTGACACTCCTGACACTTAAAAACTGCGTCTATGAGGTCGGACAGTTAAGTTCACAAACATCCTAGGAAAAGTGCTACATACCTCGTTGCTGAATATCACTACAGTCATCTTCGAAGTCCTCCCCTTGGGAATCTATGCACCGACGCCAGCGCCCAGCCCACCCTTCAAAGCAATTTTGGAACTCTTTTTCTGGAATGGCCATCAGAGCTGTCATCGTATTACCCTCGATGTCCTGAATGTCATCAAAATGTCTTCCTTTCAA